GAAGGTTTGTGGGCCACCGCTGGAAAGACATCAATCGAGCGCCCCCTCCCCCCTGACGCACTATCATTTCTGGAATGCTGGCGCGGCCATGTTACAAACGCAAACATCATTGCACCCCTACTAACTCATCGTGCGCCCTGGCTACCTTGACCCCTCCCCGTGTACCCCAGTGCGGTGATCGTGCATATGTTGGCACAAAGAAAAAAGCGCTGTCCTGCAATGTGAAACCTTTACGCTTCCCTAGCATCTTGAGGTTGAGCGTTGTGAGCCTGATCTGGTGGGGCACGTCGTGTTGGTCTTGCCAAACAAGTAGGTCGGCTAAAACCCGCTTGCAACCAAGGTCCAAAACTTCCTCAAGCCCCCCACTAAAGCCGAACGGATTCACAAGGATCTACCTCCATATAGCTGCGCTCACCCACCTCATGATTGGCCCGTAATACAGGCAATGCAAAGAGTCTATGGCGAGGCTTGCCGTCGGCGACGTCCCTAGAGCTCGCGAAAACAACGGGCAACGATGCCGCATTGCATCCATGACTTTGTTGTCACTGCTCATGGAAGGACGCCAAAATACAATCTCGAATGGCAACGTCTGCTTCTCAAGATTAAACGTGTCCCACAAGTGAACTGACGGCTCTAAGCGATCACGCTTTTTCAAGGCAACTCCGTTTATGATGATGTCTGTCACGATAATTCGGCCGTTGATGCCCTTGCCTTTTTCAAAACGAATTGATTTCAGCAGATCTGCTCTGTGCTGTTCTGTTCTGATGTGGACACGCACCTCACACCTTGCGCACTCATCGAAATAATCTGCTTCTCTTCTTATCCTGAATGGCAGTGGTTCGTTGGGGACGCACGCACCATACATGCAGTGCATCTCGTCCTGGCTTGCCTCACAGAACTGGCACGCATTAAACACTGCCGACCATGGGGCTAAACCAAGGGACTTGGCATGTTCACTCCAGTCTCCTTTGATCCACAACAGTGCTCCTGTATACGAAAAGGCTTTCGGGCGAGCGAGCTCGTGATCGGCACCCCACGGCCTGCCATCCGATTGAGTAGCTGGCCTGCGCCCTAATGACATTGCTTCGAACTGCCATGCCGCGGTCTGGAGATGCGGAAACAGCGTGCACCATCCTTTGCACCCGCACTGGCAGCTATCGCTGGACCTAGTGATTGACCTAAAGTGCCTCTTTCCCGTGATCAAATTTATGGCCCACATGCCCAAGCTTGAATGATTCCTCCCAGACGCAGATTTTCTATAAGTCACTCCATCGAGGTAAAATGCGAGAGGCACTGGAAGGCGGTCTCCGTTCGCAAGGGCCTCTATGACACGGGAATGTTTCTTGTAGCACTCAAAATCTAAAACACAGGGGTCTCTGTCGCCAGGCGCTGCGTTCAGAATCCTGAAGGTGTGCGGGTCTTCGGAGACTTCCTCCTCGATCCCTTCGAAAACACAGCGCACAGGAACATCGCGTATCGTCCGCCGAGGTCTGCGATGTAGGTTGACTGGCGTGCGAACCGTCGTCATGCCACTGGGGGCTGGTAGTACTTTCGATAAATGGTCCTGGTATTTGCCTGATTGTTTCCCTGGAGCAAGTCCGTAAAGAGCGAAGTTGGCCCCTGGGACGCCAGCAACGTCGGCTAGATGACAAATTACGGAAAAGTCGAGAGCCGTAAGTTTGCACGAGGCGTAGAGTTCAAGTAGCTTTCGTAGTAGCTCGGAGCCCGCATCCCTGGCAGTCTGTGAAGACAAAATGCGCGGCGCCCCCCGCCTGTGGCTGCGAGACCTCGCCATCTGGTTAACAAATCAAACTGTAGATCTGTAGGTGGCTGTGCACAGACAGTAGGAACTTGAGCATGCGCCTCCGAGAAGTGATAACGCAGGCTATGTATAAGGTGTGTCTGCTGTTTGACATGCTGTGTAATGTGTGTATGTGCTGTTCGACATGCTGTGTTAGCGTGCTGTGCGCTTGATGTTCTGTTTGTTGTTTATCATTCTTCGTGCTGTGTACACCCCTATCCATGATCGCGTTTCGTGCTGTGCGTACGCCCTTCGTGCTGTATGATGTTTTGCTTCGTTGTCTCTTCCTTGTCTGCAGCCAGCAACCTAGACCCCAACAGCGCTGCGCTACCGACTCGTGTATTGCACTACAAGTCTGACTCACGCAATCACCACTGCAACCGAACGTGAAACTTCTGCAGAGAGGAACTGCAGCTATCTCATCAAAGTGCCAGTTGCTTGCATTCAAAATGACTGGCCTTCACTGACGGAAGCACTGATTGCAGCAGCTGCTGTAGCGCTCAACCCCGACTGTTGTCTGTTGGCGTTGAGAGATAACGAGCACAAGCTCCCCTGCTGGCCCGCGGCCTCTCGACGCAACAGAACAGTCTGAACCCTCGAACAAAGACCCTAAACTTCATTTTTTTTTTTTTTTTTTTTTGATTTTTTTTTGTTTTTTTCATTTTTTTTTCGCAAAAATCATCGCTCACCGGTCGCTCACCGGTCGCTCACCGGTCGCTCACCGGTCGCTCACCGGTCATCGGTCGCTCATCGGTCGCTCATCGGTTGTGATCACTGCCCTTTCGCCTGTGTTTTTACAGGGTTTGAGCTCGATCATCGGAGGCTCATCGGAACCAGTGAGCACCGATGAGTCACCGGCCGATCATCGGTCGCTCACCGGTCTGCGTTGTGGTTTTTTAATGAGCGCTACAGCATTTCTAGCAAAATAACGTCGGCTGATTGCTCTGGCGCGCAAAATCTTTGAACACTCATCCTCCTGGCCTGTCATCCTCCTGCTCTGCCTTCATACTCAATAATTTCGACAGCCGAGCAAACAAAAAGTACCTAGCAACAGGTTGCACGCATGAGTATGCACCCGCTCGAATCATCAGGCGGCCCTCTTGGGCTTTTTGATCTCGTGGAGGCTCTTGACCTTAATGGTGAGCTCCTGAAGGTTTTTGTCAATCTGGTCGACCTCCTTCAGCTTGTGGAGGTAACTGATGAACTCCGAATCCGAACAAGTTTTCCTCACACTCGTCAGGGGCTCAGTCAAGGCTTTGCTGACTCCTGAGGTCCACACCTTGTGGCCCACCTCCGTGAGCTGCTCCAGAAACAACTTGCCGTCCTCGTCAGTCTTCGCCCAGGAGTAATCAGGATCATTCTCGATGTTGTACGCCAAGGTCTGGGCATGGCTGACCACGGTGTTGTGCAGCAGCACGGTCTGCTTTGCCTGCGTCATGAGGGCCTTGATACAGTCGCCGCCAGGGGACTCGGTTTTCTGCTCCTTAGGGTTGCCTTCGGTGGTCTCCTGCTTTCGTTTCTTGCCCTGCTTCTTGCCCTTGCCCTCTCCCTTGCTCTTCTTTTTGCCCGTCTCAGTGCCCGTCTCCTCAGCGCGCTCCGCGCCTGGAACGTCCTCGCCGCCTGTCTCCTGGATCTCGGCCTTCGAGGTCACGCCAGCAGAGTCCGCGACCTTGCCGATGAGGATCCTCGTCTTGTCCTGGTTGCTGGGCTCGCCCGTCGCCAGTGCCTGGGGGGCGACCGTCGCTGGTGCCTGGGGGGCGACCGTCGCCAGCGCCTGGGGGGCGACCGTCGCCAGCGCCTGGGTCGAGTCGGCCAGCTGGCCCGCCCCCTGGAGGCTGAAAACCAAACAACAGATAACGTTTTATAAGTATGTCTGCACATATGTCATGCACATGCATCCACATGTGCATGCGTGTGTTTACGACTGTGTGTTTTCACATCCGCTACACCCACCTATAGCCCGCATGCGGGCTGGGGAGCGATTTTTTTGCGAGCAATTCTCGCCGCAGAGTTCCTAAGCAGAACATCGGAAAGCTGACTGCAGCCCCGAAACAAAACAGGATTTCCAATCCTAAGGCAGGTTGCTCCATGCGTTTTGCAAATGATGTTCATTTACCGAATGCCTGCTCCAAGCGCCTTCTCTTCATCTCGTTGCTTTCGATCGCGTCGTCCGCCCATGCCTGGTGCTTGGACCACGCGACGCTGAACTCGCTGTCCACTCCCTCCTCCACATACAAAGCGCGGAGCGCCTCGCGAGACGGGCAGTGCACAACCCAAGGCGCCCCCAACTGAATGGCCTTCAAGAAGTACCGAAATGCCTGAAGGGGCTGCAAACGCAACATCAGGCGGTGGGAGTCCACCTGACCCCCCTCAGGAGGAATGATGGAGGACGGAGCTGGAGGAGGGGATGAAGGAAGAGGAGAGGGCGGAGGAGGGAGGAGGAGGAGGCAGGATGCGGAGGATAAGGAGGAGAGGCGAAGAGAATGCGAAGGAGGATTCGGAGGAGGTGGAGGAGGAGGGGAGGAGCATAATGAGGGCACTGAGGGCACTGGGGGTAGGGGTGTGTTTGTTTGCCTCTCGGCGTCGTCTTTGCCGTCGTCGTCTTCGTCGTCATCGCAGTCGTCATCGCTGAAAATGACGTCTCCGTCGAACGTCGTTTGCGGGGCATCGACCATCGTCGCCCGTCGTCGTCGCATTCGTCGCCGTCGTCGTTCTGGAGCCCCCGCGCCTGCAACCAGCCCAATCGTCCTCCGCCCTCCTTCTTGGCGGTGCGGCCGAGTGTCTGATATTGGCCTTTGCGCCAATGTGTTCGTTTGTATGTCGTAACTTTCCTCATCTCCAACTTGTAGTTCTCGAACTTTTTCATCGCCCACTCCCTCCTGAAGTCTTCCTGGGCTTGGATGTTGGGTCTCCCGTCGATCCTGAGCGCTTCGTAAGCCTTCTTACAGTCTGGGTGACTGCTCTTGTAGCGATCGAACCTGCCCGCCAGGACATTGCCCTCCTTGCCGTTCGCCGCGAACCTGAAGTCCTTGGCCCTCGCTGCCTGCCATACAGCGTACTCCTTCTTCTGCTTCTCCTCGAGGCTCGTAGGGTCGATGCCGTCCTCGTCAGGGCCCTGAACTTCGCCAAACGCGTTCTCTGCACCCGCTACTGCCTCGGGAAGCATGCTTTGAGGCGTTATGCCCTTCATGCTGTGCAGCTATTTGACGTGCTTGCCCTGGAAGATGGCCATAAGATGGTCGTGCAGCTCGACGCCCAGGAGCTCGGGCTTCTCTGCCTTCTTGAGGATGTTCTGGAAGTTCACCTCGGAGCTCAGGATGACGTCGGTGAGCATGCGGCGGCGCTTGCTCTTCGGCGGTGTCTCCAAGTGTGCCTAGCGCAGGATTGAAGCTCACTGGGGCTCACCGTTCGCGACGAGCTCGCGATGAGCCCCAGTGAGCCCCCTTAAGCTCCAATGCGTTTCCTCGCAAGAGGAGACGACTGGAGCTCAATACACAAGAAAGCAGTTGGCGGTCGTTTGTCGTTTGGCTACCCCAGCCTGCGCGGCCGCGCCTCCTGCAGGAGCCAGCACTGTCGGCACAGGCTGCGCTGTCGGCACAGGCAGCGCTGTCGGCACAGGCTGCGCTGCCGAGGCAGGCTGCGCTGTCGGCACAGGCATCTCTGTCGGCACAGGCTGACCGCAAGCCGCTTGCTGGTCCTGCCAAGTGCTCGCCTTGCCTGGCGAGTTCGGGGCCCTCTCGGGACTGACGCTGATGCCACGTCGCTGGGCCTCCTCCCTCGATCTCTGCATCGCCTCCTCCAACTGCTGGTTGTCCTCGTCCTCCTTTTCCTTGGCAATACGGGCGGCCTCCTCCGACTCCTTCAGCGCCTGCGTCATCTCCTCGTCTCCATCCCCACTGCTGGGCAGTGACTCCTCGACGTCGATGACATGCCCCTGCTCTGGTTGCTGCCCTCCATCTGGTTGCTGCCTCTGCTCTGGTTGCTCCTCGGTCGGCACTGGTGGATGCAGATACGGGTTGATCTTGAGTGCCTTGGCCGCCTCGGCCGCCCTGAGCTTCAGATTGAGCATCTTGTTCTGCTCCGCCTGCTCGAGCACCTGGTCCTGTAGCGACTTGATCAGCGACATCAGCGATGGCGGGGCGTTCGCTGCCTCCGCTGGGGGCAGCATCTCCTGGGGCGGCCCTGCGATGGCGCCAGGCGGTGCCTCGCCAGCGGGGGGCGGCGCCCCACAGGCGGAGGGCGGTGCCGCCGCCGCTGGCGCCGCAACTTGGGCCCCGACTGGCGCATCAACCTGGCTCGCGTGGTTCGGCTGCTCTGCTGGGATGTCGTGCGGCGACTCCTCATCTGCGACTGTTTGCGTGCCTGCCTGAGACGGCGAGCGCCATCCTGGCTCGCCGTAGTTGGGCTGCCGATCAGGCTGCGTGTCTCCTCCGTCTGACCCTGCAGCTGGCACAATCTCCACGTCCAGATCCTCGTCCCACGTGGCCCACGCATCACTGGTCTGCAAGCGCGCGCCCTCGGCGGCGCCCTGGGCGGCGCCCTGAGCGGCGCCGTCGGACATGGGCGAGACGTGGCCCCGAGCGGATCAGTAGCAGACTGATGCAGTTCCACCTCAAGTCATTAAGATTGTTGAGCCAAAACGGTTCGGACGGAATGCATGGACGTCGGGCTCGACAAGCCCCCAAGATGCCCCCAAGAGACCCCTGCACTGTGCCCCGAGGCCCCCAAGAGCGTTTCGACCAGATCCCAGCGTGGAAGATTGCAAACCATGCGTAGGAGGAGGGGGAGGAGGAGCAGAAGGATGAAGGGGAGGAGGAGGGATGAGGGGAGGGGAGGGTGAGTGGACGGGGTGTGGAGGAGGGGAGGACAATGTGGAGGAGTGATGTTTGTTTGACCCGTAACGTATTTGGCAAACGTAAGACCCCGCAGTCAGCAGTTTTTGTTTATCACAAGCCCCATTGATTGCACGTGCACTGTGTATGACTTCGACATTTCGATATGGCCATATTGATGGCCTCTTGGGCCGTCGGAAGGCCGAAAAGGAGGATACCCCAACATCCTTAGAACACCTACGTGACATCAATGATGTTTGGCCTCGGCGGGCCTTCCTGAAAGTCCTCTTAATTGGAGGCGTCTTGGGCTTTGTATTTGACCTAAGCCCCGCAGTTGCAGATATTATGCCGTGCTCCACTCAGTTTGACTTCAAGTGTTTCAGACAACGCGGTTAGAACGTCGTTGCCACCAGGCAATACTGAAGCTCCGCTCGTGCGGTACCCTCGCACAAATCAGCATACATTCACTGGAAATACCAGAAAAACTATGCGTGGCCCCATGGCCTCAGACAGCTGGCGGCGATAAAAAAATCGGCTGAAGAACCTTGCACTGGTTGCGTGAAGTTGGAACTTGGCACGAAATACAGCTAGCACGAACCCTTGTGCTTGACCTGAAACTCGACCTGGGATGTTCAGCCAACTTCATCTAGGCTCTTCAACAGAAGACTGCAAAATACGGCACGAAGACTGGCACAAAAATTGCCAGCATCAGAAGTCGTCATCAATCGGCGACATCGGCGGCACCACGGGCGCAGGCGGCACCACGGGCGCAGGCGGCACCGCGGGCGCAGGCGGCACCACGAGCGCAGACGCAGGCGGCGGTGAACGCTTGGCCAGCGGCTCGGGAGTCACCGCGCCCTTGCGCGGTGACATTGAAAGCAAGGCCTTGGTTGCCGCGGGCTCAAGCTTGGGATCAGGCGAAGGCTTGCACACCTTCGCCTTCTTCGAAACAGACTCTGAATCCGAGGCGGCGCTGCTCACTTGGCCACTCTCTGAATCAGCGTCATCCTTCTTCTCATTCGGATCCGTGTCGGCGTCCTCGGGCCCGGCAGCCGCCGGTCGCTTGTCGGCCGCCGCCGCGGGTCTCTTCATCCTCGCCGTCTTCTTGTCAGTAGCCAGAAACTCTCGCTTCATGTCCTCGCACTGGGTTTTGTCCTTCTCGCCAGCAGCGAACGCCTTGCAGCACTGAATCACAAATTGTTTGGCACCCTCCTCGTTTGTATACCCCATCATCTGCATGAACTGCTTGTTCTCGTACCAGATCTGCAGCCACGACTTGCCAGTCTTGATGACCCAGCGCCCCAACACCTCGTTGCCCGTCTCGTGGTGGGCGCCGCGCCAGAAGACGTTGTTCCCCTTGGTGTGCTTGGGCGCACCGTCTGGCCTGTCGGTGTCATTCGCCGACGTGCCAGGCACCTACAGGGCAACTGAAAGCTATTATAGAGGATGATGGGAGGCACGGAATGGATGGAGGGAGAATGACGCGCGGGAGAGAGACGGAGGATGGAGGAGCATGCACAGGAGTTGGTGGTGGGAGGAGGACGCACAGGAAGCGCGGAGTGGACGGAGGGAGGAGGAGGAGGAGGAGGAGGGAGGGAGGAGGAGGGACATTTAATTAATCAAGAGATGAGGAGGAGGAGGGAGGAGGAGGCACCTCCCACTCAAACTTGTCGGCCCAGACGGCAACGAGCATCTTGCTGCCCTCGCGAGGGCGAGCCGCTGCGTACTCTGGGAACTGGCTGGCGTTGATGGGGGTGCGCCAAGCGGGCTGGGGGCCCAAAGCGTGGAGAGGTCAAGAGGCTGGCTCATCCTCCTCCCCCCGAGGAGGGGGAGGAGCATTAGGAGGAGGAGGGTGAGAAGGAGGAGGAGGAGGAGGAGGAGAAGGAGGAGTAGGAGGAGGACGACGATAGCGAGGCCGACGTCCAGAGGAGGAAGCCGACGAGGGGTTCGAGGATAAGGAGCCACCACCCTCCACTTCTTCCTTCTCCTCCCCATCCTCCCTCTCCACTCCTCCTCGTTCTCCTGTTTCGACGATGGGCTGACCTGCATTTCTTTCTCGTAGCCCAGTCTATAGCCGCGCTCCGTGACCATCTCCTCGTTCGTGAAGGTCGAGGCCTGGTCTTCGCGCCCCTTTCCGCTCTTCGCTTCCCTGTGCTTCCCTCCCGACCCCAAACCACCCCCCCGCCCCCCCGTTCCCGCCCCTCCTCCCTTGCCCATCCCGATCACCCAAATACCATTCACTCCACCCCGTTTCTCCCGTGCTCGTTCAGCCCTCCTCCCCATCCTCCTTCCTCCTCGTCCCTCTGCCTCGTCCCTCCTCCCCCCTCTCTTTATCCCATCCTTCCTCCTCATCCTCCTCAGCCGCCTCCCCCTGTCCTGCTCCCCCCTTTTTCTCCTGCTGCTGCTACTGATGCTGCTGCTGCCCCTCCTCCCCCTTATCCTCCTCCTCATCCTCCTCCTCCTCCTCATCGTTCCTCCCCCTCCTCATTCCGCTCCCACCCTGGCCTTGGCCCTGACGAGCTTCTTCGCGCTCTCCGCTGGCTTGCTGTCGTCGACCTCCGCTGGCTTGCTGTCGTCGACCTCCGCTGGCTTGCTGTCGTCGTAGGCCGCTGGCTTGCTGTCGTCGCTGGCCGCTGGCTTGCTGTCGTCGCCGGCCGCGGGCTGGAATTTCACGGCCCAAGCAGGGACTTGCTTCCTCTGACGGTGATCAAAATAGTAGGAGGAGGAGGAGGAGGACCAGACGGAGGAGTAGGAGGAGGAAGAAGTTTGATGATGAGGACGTTGGGGGGAAGCTCCGAGGCGCAGAGTTCGGATGACGACGTCGAAGAGAGCATGGGCGAGAAGGATGAGGAGGGCGAAGTGAAACCAAGGAGGGCGAGGATGAGAAGGAGAGAGAGAAAGAGGAGGAGGAGGATGACGAGGAGGAGGAGGAGGACGAGGATGACGACGACGACGAAGGAGGAGGAGGATCAGGAGAATGAGAACGAGTCGAGAATGATGCGCAGGAGGAGGAGGGGCTGTGTCCTCGATAAAGCCTTGGCGACGTGCCGCAGCATGGCCCGTATCATGCGTGCGCGGTCGTCAGCCCACGATTTGTTCTCCTTGGAAAGTTTCCATATCTCTTCCTTCGCGTTCGCCACGATAAGCAGCGCCGCCTTGGGGCGGCACGCTATTCCCCTCCTCCCTCTCCTCTCCCCCTCCCCCCCCCTAGTCCTCGTCATCTTCCTCATCATCCTCATCCTCCTCCTCCGCCTCCTCCTCATCATTATCCTCCTCCTCGTCCTCCTCTTCCTCTCCTCCTCCTCCTTTTCCTCCTCCTCCTCCTCCTCCCTTCCACTCCGCGAGTCCCTCCTCCCCCTCCCCTCTCTTCCTCCTTGCCCTTGTCCTCCTCCTTCACCTTCTCGATCCTCCTTCTCCCCCTCCTCCTCCTCCTCCTCTTCCTCCTCCTCCTCCTCCTCCCCCTCCTCCTCCTCCTCCCCCTCCTCGCGATCTCGGCCTTCGCCGTCTTCTGAGGGACGCCGCCGACGGGGGCAGCCGCCCTCGTCTCAATGATCAGCTTCTGGAACTTTGACAGCGTGTCCTCGTCGTGCGCGGCGTCAAGGTCGGTCGCGCACGTCAACCTTGGCTATGAAGGGGGGCGGAGGGGCGGTGGAGGAAAAAGGAGGAACACACAGCAATACCACACGGATGGGACGCAGTCGAGGATAGAGGAGGAGGTTTAGGTAGTACGGATACGAGGCGCAACGAAGAGGAAATGCGCGAAGAGGGAGGCGAATGAGGATGAAAAGGGCGAGGGTGTTGAGGAGGAGCAGGAGCCAGAGGAGGACAGAATCGGAGGCTGTGCCTCCGATCAGAGGCTCCTGCTCCTGCTCCTCTGGCTCATGCTCCTCCTCTGGCTCCTGCTCCTCTGGCTCCTTCCTGCTCCTGCTCCTAAGGCTCCTCCACTGGCTCCTCTGACTCCTCCTCTGGCTCCTCCTCTGGGTCTTAAGGCTCGGGCGTGTCGGGCTCCTCGATGAAGTGCGACCACACGTGGCTCAGTGTGGTGGCGTCAGCCTCGCTTGGCTGGCGCGCGGCCCCAACCTTGCGCTTGGGCGCCATGAAGCCAAAATGGCTAGGGGAAGGAAAAGGAGAACAGCAGGAGCAGCCGCTCGAGAAGAGAGAGCAGCATAATCTAGAGCTGGGATGTGAGGAACAAAAATCAACTATTGAGTAATAAGCAGCGAGGGTGCCAACGCCTCCTCCTCCTTCTCCCCCTCCCCCTCATCCATCATCATCATCATCATCATCATCATCATACTGCCTTTTGGGCGTTTTTGTTTTCATCATCTGGTTTACATATCTCCATATCATCATCAGCCTTTTCGGCGCTTGTGTGTGGCATTTTTGTATTTGATGCATGTTTATGTGATGATGCATGATGTTGCATGATAGGGGACTAGAAACAAGACCGCGGGACTATAAATAGGAACATACATAAGGGGACTAATCAACTGTCCTTTTGGACCTCTGGGTTCTGGGTCATAAGCACAGAGCTGTGGCGGATCACTCCGCAGTGCGTATAGCTGCGCTTCACATGACGCCCAAGTGTCCGCCTTGTGATGAGTAGGAGAGACGTTAGACGTGTCGAAGAACGCCACCAACTCATAGGCTGCCTGTCTGATTCGGTACTGATTGACCCTGCTTGTCACGTCGTCCTGGGCTGTGGCCTGGCCCCTGCCGGGTGCGTGTG